TGATTGGGTTAGCATAGAAGCAAATTGAATGGCCTTGATATCCCTTTAAACTCTTTACGCTCAGACTGTTTTTCTCATTTCAGGGCTTTCATTTATATAACATAATTGAAGATATTATTATATTTTAGCATATATCTTTTAGCTTAGCTTAAATTCGACTCTCATATAACGTTCGAGTTCTTCTTCACTCGCTGTCCTTCATCTACTCAAAACTTCAATGTGATATGGAAATCTGTCTATAAAGTTTGTATTCTCAATATGAATCTTAAAGAATTATCTCATTATGAACATAGCTAAGCTCTATTTGTTTGCAATTTTAGATTTGAAACAGGCTATATGCTAGTCTGATATGCTCGTTTCGCAAACAGCTGCTTGTAATTTTCGTGCTCTAATTAATATGGGAAGTACAGCAACAACAACAACAACAACAACATCGATGACATCCACAATGCTGCATGCTAACATTTGCGTGCCGTACTCCACATCCTATTGCAACACCCAGTTCTCTTTGATTAAATTGCCCCAGAGTGAAGCCTGCTGCACACAGCCGGAAGCAACAGGCGTCTGCCGTGTGTGGGGCATGCGTCGTGCAGCCAGCCCTGCTGGAGAGGGTAGCTCTCTTTCTATCTCTCTCTCTATTTCTCACTCTTTCTGTAGTCTATGTGTGTTGCCAGTTGCATGGCTCATTGATTGTTCACTTGGGCGCCGACAATGACGATGACGTCGTTGGCGGTGACACAGCAAATGTGCAAAAACAAAGTACAAAAATAAAAGAAAAACATAAAAAATAAAAGAAGAAATTAACAAACAGGAAAGAACGGTTATCAGTGAAGCGTCGAAGATTGAATACACTTGCGAATTCTCTTTAAAGCCCAAAGTACATAAATGAGAAGTTATTAGTCATCTCAAATACAATACATAAATGTATATGTATGTATTTATTATTTGTGTGATAAAAATGGTTATATGTGTATGCCTTTCAAGTGCTTATTGAGAATTTGTTTTGCAGAGCCTGCACCCATTGAAATGGGAAATACTTTGAATATTATAAATACATTGTTGTTTAAAGCGATAAAAATGCATAGCCAACAGTTTTTGATAGGCTTATCACGAAAAGCAAAATGAGAAAAAAGGGAGTTCTTAATCGAGTGATAAAAATCATATATTTTAAATATGAATTGGATTGTTTATAAATTTTGACTTCCCTGACTTTTTAAAATACAAAATTTTAAATCTAAAACTTAAAAATAAATCAAAAATTAGTATTTCATATATTTTATTTTTAATTTTAAATAAAAAATTTTTAACTAAAATAAATAAATAAAAAAAAAAAAAATAATAATAATAATAATAATTGAAAATGTTTGAGTCATAATCTAAAAAGTTCAATAATTAGAATTTAAAAAAACTCTTAAAATTGGAAATATTATCTAGATTAAAAATATATATTTCATAAAAATACGGAATTTGCTAAAAAGAATTTTTTTAAACTTATTTATTAAAAAATAATAACAATAAAATGTAAATTTTAAAAATCTAAATTTTTTTTATTTTTGTTTAAGGAAGTTAAAGTTTCCATATGAATAGCATATATTGCATTTTTATAATTCAGTTCTAAATATTTCAATATATATGCAGGTTATAGAGGCCACCTAGTATTCTGTTCTGTTCTCATTTAAGTTATAGCACGCAGCACGCAGTTGTTAAGGGTTTTTTTTTTTTTAATATCTAAATGACTTTAACTGCACGACAAACTGGGGTCGACCCTATCTACGTAGTGTATGCTAAAGTAACATCATCACCCGACACTCGACGTCGCTTTCGCATGCGCCACGCCCCAGCGTGCGGTGCCGCCCGTTTGTTTGCCAATTTTTATTTGCTCCACTTTGAGTTGTAATTCTTCTTGGCTTATTATGTAAGTCAAGATGAGCAGTTGTTGTAGTAGTAGTAGTAGTTGTTGTTGTTGTTGTTGTTGTATATGTTACCTACCGCGATTTACGATGCCACAGCCCATAAATGTTTACCTTGACAATTTGAACTGTCAACTGGGTGCGAGACAAAACGGACTGTGACGAGGCAACAACAGTCACTCATTCGATCATTCAATCAGTCAGTCAGGCACTCGAGCAGTCAGTCAATCAGCCAGTCGGTCAACCAACCGTGGTGCTGGCCGTGCCCATCCATTGCGCCTCTCTTGTCAATATTTCATAATTCACAGCAACAAATTTATTGAGTTGTTCAGTGTGGAGGCTGCTGCACGCACGCCTTAAAAAAAAAGCTTGCCACTGACCCACACAACAAATAAGAGACAACAAAAACAGCAATAAATTGCGACAACTGTTGAAGACTTTGGCAACGGTATTCATATAAAAAGAGAGAAAAAGAAAACAGAAAAAAACAGCTACAACCCACTGACTAGCGGCAAATTTGTTGTTTCTTTTTTGTCAACGATTGAGCCGATTGAGCAAGCGGCGCTTACGTCGACATCTGCACCACCATCTCCACCGGCAGCAACAGTGCCCCATTGCCAGTCATTGCTCATGACATTCAAAACAAACTTCGAGTGGCCACGGCTCACGAGTACATTGCCTTTGAATTGGCATTAGACAACGTCCAACCACGGTCATGGGACTCGGTGGGGCAGCAGCTGTGGAAGGCCGTTGGAGCATGTGCAAAAACAAAAGCAAAGAAAAAAGTTGTCCGGTTTAGAAGTCAATGAATTCTTATAAATTCAAGTCAATTGCTGAGAATTGTTTTTTCACTAAAACAAGTGCAAGTGGGGCATGCGCTAGCTGAGGGTATGCTAGACTTGCAGATACCCGTTAGGAAAAGTTTGCTTGAATTAAGTCATATACTAATGGAAATGGAATGAAATTTACCTATTTATCTCATATAAAAGCATAGCCGTATTTAAAATTGTTTAATTTCCAACTATTATGAACTCAATTGTTAGAGCTATATATAATATAATTTTACAGAAACAAAGCCCAATCTCTAGATCTGTTTCACAACTGTTTACACAACTGAATTATAATTGCTGATGTTGCTTTTTTCTTTCTCTCTCGTAACTAGTCAAATCGGACCTTAATCGCCCCAAAACTAAACCATTAAATGGCCAAATGTTATCTGCGTTTATCACAATCATTAGCGCAGTCGACTGTAAAAAACGATGTTGTTTAAATTCAGCAATAAATTGGCATATTGAAAGTGAAGAAGATAAATTGATACGAGCTGACGTTTAATTGTTGCTTCTGTTCAGTTTAAACTACAAAATAAATTTGAAATCCAATTTGCCAAAAATTGATTTATAAATTGCAAACATTTTTCAAATCTAAATAATTTAAAATTCAAATTCGATCTTAATGCGGTTATTTATTCATTAGCACGACCCATAGTCTTAATATATTCTCTGTTGAGGAATGTTTTTAAATTATGTTCAAACCGATTTCATTCTTCTAGCTGGCAAACAAGTTTAGAACACATTCGCCTCTTTGTCTTGAAGACCTCCTATTTGACCTATAAATGTATGCATATACATATATGTATATTCGCATTCCATCACAAATCTGGTTGGTTCTACTTGAAGCAAGGGCGATCAATGAACGGAATTCCATATGCCACCCACGAAATGGGATGAGGTCGCTGCTTCCGCTGCGGCGCTTACAGTGTACACTCTTTGTCTATTCATTGTAGTTTTAATGCACAGGCAATTTTACAAATTATATGTGCAATCCATAGAATGAGTTCCGCATTGATCTATTCGCACTTTGAGCCCCACGAGCTGGGCTCAGCTGGACGAGCCTGGCTCACCTTTCACACCTATTAGTGTTGATCGCTCAATTGAATAAATTAGCGTTAGTTGATTTGTATTCCTTGTAATTAACTTGGGGCTTTACATAGACTCGACGCAGCAACAACACCAACGGCAGCAACGGCAGCAACAACACTTATTTTGATTTGTCATGGCAATTTGACTTCCTTAAACTTTTGATGCCTTTCATTAATTGCCTCACTTTTATTTTTACCAACTTTTATTGTCTATTTATGGCGCTGTAAATTTTCCGGGTTGTTTTATTTTCTTCTTTTTTTTTTTTTGCCTACGTACTTTTTGGTTAGAAATTTTTTGAATAACTTTTTATGGGCATTGGATCACTGTGATCTAATTAATGTGTAAATAAGAAGAAAATACTTTAAATAGCTAGAAAACATTTTGATTGGAATTCGAGAGCATTTCTAGACTCATTGAATTTGGATAGTACAGGATGTAATGCAGGCGGGAAAGAGCCTATGAAGTACATGTATTCAGGATCATGATTATGATGATGAATTGAGTAGATCTAGGCTAAACTTGAAATTTTATATGTATATCCCTGTATATATATTTTTATTATGATTTGCACTTTTTTTGATAAAGCACAAAATTTTAAAAATAAATTGATAGTTTTTATTTTCTTTTTATTTTATTTAAGATTTTCTTTGTTCTTTGGTGCACAGCCCATTTTTTTTTTATAAGTTTCGCATTTGTTACCCTTTTTCCAAGATTGATATAATAGAGGCTTGTGCATTGACAAATAAACATACATACATACATAGATAGATATTATTATCAAGCTCAGAATATCTGATTACCAAAGCTTATCTAGAACAGCAAAAGGTTGTGCAAAAAGTTAATTTCCTATATAAAGTTGATGTGTGTGTGTGTGTGTACGTATATGTGTGTCTGCTGTTGTTTATATCCGTTAAACAGAAACGTGGAAAACGCTAAAATCTGCTGGAACAACTGTGTATTTGGCTGGGTACTCCCAATTAGAGCACTTTCCCTTGATTTGCATCTGTTTGGGCATTTAAAAAAATAACTAGGCCATATTAAAATACAAAATTTTTAATTAAATTTTTATTGTTGCTGGTATATGAATGAGTACCTATTAATAATACATATATATTAATTCAAAAGAATATCTATAATATACTCATGCTGATAATCGACATTTTTGCAACAGCTCGCGGCATCTACAACACCTGCAATAACAGCCACAACATGGACGTACTCATGCATGATGTGTTGCACTGGTATAGAGACCTGATGGACAACAAAAGCGGTTCGTAGACCCTACCTAGACTGGGTAATGTGGCCATTTATTGATTTTGTTTCATTTCATCTCATCCATCCAGATCCGCGCGTCAATAATTTCTTTATGCTCTCCTCGCCTCTACCCACGCTGTTTTTGTGCCTCTTCTATGCATATTTCAGTAAATCTCTGGGGCCGCGGCTAATGGCGAACCGTAAGCCGATGGATCTGCGCAAGGTGCTCGTCTACTACAATGCGGTGCAGACCATCTTCAGTGCGTGGATATTTTACGAGGTAGAGCACGGCAACGATTGATTGATAACAAGAACTGAAAGTGAACTGATCAAAATATCTATATATTTTATTTGAATTAGTACTTAATGAGCGGCTGGTGGGGTCACTATAGCTTAAAATGCCAGCCCGTTGACTACAGCAACAGTCCCATGGCCATGCGGGTAGGTTTCGATCACTGAGCTATGAATCAATCAATTAGTGTATTACAATGGCTTTCTCTTTGTAGATGGTCAATATCTGCTGGTGGTATTACATATCAAAGTTCACAGAATTCTTTGACACGCTCTTCTTTATACTGCGCAAGAAGAATGAGCACGTATCAACGCTGCATGTCATACACCACGGCTGCATGCCGTTCTCGGTGTGGATGGGCCTTAAATTTGCACCGGGTATGTATCAACACACCCATTCTCTGTCTCTCTCTCTCTCGACTCTAATAATTCTCGTATCGTATTTTCTCTAGGTGGTCACAGTACTTTCTTTGCCCTGCTCAACTCGTTTGTACATATTGTTATGTATTTCTATTATATGATTGCTGCCATGGGTCCAAAGTATCAGAAGTTCATCTGGTGGAAGAAATACCTAACCACCTTCCAAATGGTATGCAAGTTTAGCTCTCACTTTAATCAAAATCTTAACTGATCTGTTGCCCGCTTCTTCTTCTTTTTGCTACAGGTACAATTTGTGGCCATATTTACGCATCAGTTCCAGCTTTTGTTCCGTGACTGTGATTATCCCAAGGGCTTCATGGTCTGGATTGGATTGCACGGCGTGATGTTCCTATTCCTATTCTCTGATTTCTACAAGGCTAAATATCTGAATGCACAGCGTCGCCGCCGCGAGGCAGTCAAAGTCAATGGCCATGCCAATGGCGTCTACACGAATGGCAAAGTCAAGCATTTAGGCAACGGAGATGCCCCGCTCCCTGCCAATGGCACCAACAAGGGTGCCTGTATGGTGAGTTCCACAGCTATCAATAATTTGCAGTTGCAAAATAAAGAAAACAAACAGATAGACTGAAATGGCAAAAACAAAAATAAGACGAAAAGAGCAATACATAATAATACATAAACAAACGTGTGGCGTAGGTAAGCAACATTAAATCAAGTAGCCCTTGAAAGTTATTAGCCGTGGCTAAGCACACAATTCGACGCCCGTTCCCAAGTGCTGGCACCCCCAGGTGGGGCGGGTGAGATGTCCAGTCCAGTGTCTGTGTGTGCATACTAGAGTTGGGTGCGTATCGTGTATCGTGCGTGACACGACGCGTTCATAGTGATGCGCTGTACTATGTGCTCAGCAGCTCATTCAATCAATTTTTAAAGTAATATATATGATAGAAATTCAATGTCAAGAGTTGAAGCTCTGGCAAAAAGTATGAGCAAAGAAACTGAGGAAAACTCAAAGAAAAATCTGCATTCATTTTTTTAAATTAAACTCCAAAACATGATATTATTTTCACTACAATCAAGATTTGATAAAAAAAATAGTTGAATTGGAAAAACTATTAAAATATTTACAAAAAAATTTTTTTTAATATTTATAAATTTGGTTTCATTAAATGTAATAGATTTTCGAGTCTTACGTGTAAGACAAAGGTTAGGCAGCGCATCTCTAGCACATACATTCAAGTGCGTAGTTGTATTATCAACTAAAAAATTCTAACTAGCTTAGTTAAGCAAACAATACACTCACACACACCTAGACACACACACCTAGCCACAGGCACTCATACACGCGCGCGCACAGCACTCGCAAACTCTCAACACTACGCGGGGGACGTTTCAATTAGCGAGAGCATGCGAAGCCGGATGCGAAGGCCCAATCATATTGGCTGCCGGCCATTAGGAAGGTACACAGCGCTTTGAACTCTAGCTCGAGAGCTTAGAGTGGGATTGCAAGGGGGGTAGTACGCACGTGCTTGGCAAAAAAAAAAAACGAGAAATAAATAAATAAAGTAGCGAAAACTTAAAGCGTCAACTGAAATTAATCGCATCAATTTTCAATTGGTCAATTGCAGCCCGTTTTGGACGATGAATATGTGAATAGCAACGGGCATGCGAATGGCTTTAAGGATGGTTACTTCAAGGAGGGCGTACTCTCAACCAATGATGCCATCTTGAATCCGGACAGCAGTAGCTCTAGTCTGCACCAGCGCAAAGTCAAATAACTACTACTAAGATCTACTACGATGATATTCATAATATTAGTTTTAAGTATTTAGCGTGTAACCGAACCAGATCCGATCGCGAATCGAGCAGATCGTAACAGGCTAAGGGCAGTATAGAAATGCATCCATGCAAATATGACCATTGGCGACATAAAGAAAAAAACAAAACAAACAAAAAATGATTAAAACATTATCTGATTTTAATAATTTATAATATAAATATATATTTATGTAAAGGCAAGCCAGATGTTAGTGTTTAATGAGAAGTCACATATATTACTATATATACATATATACGACATATGCATATATACATATATAAGTAGGCAGACCAAGAACCAGAACCAGGGAACCTCCATTCCCTCCACCAACAAGACCATCAGCACCCACTGTAGCCGAAGCCGTCAAGTAGATTAAGAATATATGATGTAAACTGCTTAAGTAACTAAATAACAACTAAAACAACAACAATTGTTTAATATCAAACATACTTTCGCTGGTATTACTCCCACATATTATATGTATATGATCACACCCCCACATAAATGGACACATATTTTTTGTAAAAATATTTTTGTAAACTCAGCTTGTAACTCCCGATTTGTGACGTATGTTAAACTGTCAACATATATCATTTCTATACACTAGGGCAGTCACCACCCACACATATACCCACTCATATACACATATGTATACACATGCTAGGCATTAACTTTTATATGACCATTTTGGATAACATAATGAGACGTCAACCTAACGATAAAAAATATTACAAAAAACTATGCTCTTAAGCCTGCTTTAAACTTAAACGTTAAACTATTTGTAGCTTGTTTTTGTATATTGAGAGTTGGAGAAAACATTTGTTGCAATATTTTGTAAATGGTCTAATGATAAAAAAGAAACCCCTATATATAGTGCGATGTTGTAGTTAGCTAGCAAAACGAAGAAAAACCAAACAAGAAACATTTAAGGAACGTAGCACAAAATGCAAATGCTGCGAAAAAAAAAGCAACAAAACATTATGGAAGAATAGCTTTAGACTTTAAGTTCGAAAAAGCTAAAGGAGCAGACAATCGGTTCGGCGTTGAACCCCATTTAAAATTTAATGAAACAAACTAAAATTTAATGCAAACTCTTAACGATAACAGCAAAATCATTGATACATCATTGTTTAAGTTCATGATTCATATATTGTTTTAAAAGAATATTTCAATTCTCGGTGTGGCTTATGTGCGTATATCCATATATATATATTAATATTTTTGTATATTTGTTAATCTATGTATTTTGGTTTTGTAAATGTTTAAAACAATTTTTAGAAGTTATTTGTACTACAGTCTGTTAATCTGTGCGTTGGTTTCTTTGTTAAGTTGTGGTTTAAGCTGACAAGTTCAAAAACTATGGAAAACATGAGAAAAAAGCTTATTAATTTATATTAAAGAAATATGAACGGAAAATGTGTTTTTATTATGATGAGTGGCGGAAAAGGATTTCAGAACTTTCAAGTACTTAAAATAGGCATTTATATTGAATTATATTTCAAGAAGTTAGTTAAATGTTGGATGTGCATAACTGAATTCCTAGATATTTTCTTACCCAACTTCAACTAGATTTATTTTGCTAAGGCTCTTTGGATTCCATTCATATTTTCTATATGTCTTAATTGGATAACTTTTGTCATCTTATAGATGGCTTATAGAATATGAGAAATATATATAGTCCATGTTATATAAATTATTATTAATTTAATGCATAGTTTTAGGCATTAAATATAATTGCTAAACGAAGGGAAAACCCAAACTAATTTAGTTTATAATTTGGTCTGGGTATTTCATGCGTCGAGCATACCCTACTTATCAGTCAAATCACTATCATTAAACAATTATCATTGTAAAAATCTATTCACACTACGTTTCAGCTAAACCCAAACGTCAAGCTATGAAAGTGCCAAGTTTTAAGTACAATTACCCAAGTTTGAAGATGATTCGATTGCCTGCAGCGCGACAAGCAACACCAAGTGGGTGATATCAAGTGCACCTTTGTGCGGGGGCTGACTTGCTGCGGACTTGCTGACTTGCAGTAAATAAACAAATACAAACAAATCTATTAACACGTCAATATCAAGTCAATAAAAATCGGAAATGTGCATATATTGTTGAATTTTCACAATGCTGCCGTTTTCACAGCTCGTGGCGTCTAGCTGGGGGACTGCACGGGGATGTACATTGCACCAAAGTGCAATCGGGATGGGCTAGTAGCTAAGTAGGTAGACAGCGTAGGTTATTCAACGTGCTTGACTGGCCGCGCGACTGATGGAACTGAATTAAGTAAAAGTTGGTCGAAAAATAAAAAACATTAATTTGTTGGCTTAACATAAAAATTAATGATTACTTCATATACTAATTATTGGCAAACACAAGTGTAATTGTTGGCGGCAGCTGGCAAATATTTAACTCCCTATTTGACCTTGACGACGCAACTTGTCAAGCGACGCGTCGCTCTGGCCGCAGTTTGCCCAGTTAACATTTGCGGCACGAGAGCGGGTGGAGTAGCTGCGGCGAATGCTAATGCTAATGCTAATGCAGCATTACACTGCGTCATACTCCAAGTCAATTAGATAATCGCTAGAGGCTGACCTGCTGGCTGGTGAAGCTCCATAGCCTGGGTTGATTGGTCTGATCAAACACTTGACAGGCGTTACGTCGTGCGCCACCTGTTGTTGTTCACTTGAACTTTAGTTGCCAGTTCGGTCGAGAACAGGAGCGAACCCTGGGCCAAAGCAATTAGCGTGTATTTACACTGTCCCATGTGCACTTAAGCGGGGGCTGCTGGGGCTGGCTGCGGGGTGGGACAACTAACTTAACTGGTAGTTGCATTACGGAAAGTTTTCAGTGTTTTTGCACTATGCATTTATGCATTTTGTTGTTGTTGTTGTTGCTGTTGTTGTTGTGTCGTACGTTTCCACATCCAGAAGCTTTTCAAAAGTTTTCGGCTTAAGTTCTGCGCCTGCTCGCCAGCTGTTGCTGCTGCTGTTGCCGCTATGCAGCTTTGGCAGCGCTGCCAACGCTGGCGTCACAAATCGCAAGTCTCGACGTCGCCGTCGCAGTGACTGCGCAGTGTCGTCCGTCGCATTGCGCGTTTAACAGCCGAACCGCTCAATTTTTGCTCAGTTTGATTCAGAAGTTTAGCTTCAGCACGTCTCGGACGCTCGGTCAACAGTCCCGCTTAGCAGCTCATTAGCCAATTGCGAAAGAATTTGCGATTTTAAAAAAGTTCTTGTGAAACATTTACGTATGTTTGCACATTCAGCCATACATATGAGCATATAGTTATTTCTACCTTGTCCGCGCGTTATTTGTGTTGTGGTTTTTGCGGTTTTTCAGTTCCAGTTTCAATTGCTTGCAGACAGGAGCAGCGGCCCCCAGCAGCAGTAGCAGCAGTAGCAGCAGCAACCCCCCAACACTAGCGCAGCAGCGGTCGATCAGCAGTGGTGGCAATAGCGAACACTGAAATTGTTGGTAAGTTTCCTCACATACGTTTTGTGCTATTACTTCTTTTGCAACTGTTATTGTTGATTTGTTGAACAGACTGGCAACACTGTGCCGAATATCGCATTGCCAAATATTATAAAGCAATCAGAAATCTAATACTCATACACAGAGGCAAGAGTAGCGAAAACAAACTTGATGATAAATGATAAACTGAATACATAACTTATGTACAGAGAGTACTATTATAACTAGGTACATTATATTCAGGTTTCCAGATATACGTAAAGTAAATTCTAATTAACAAATACCAGTTTTTTTCTTTGCCAGTAGTCAACTTGCAAGTTAACCCATATACATTTCGGTTAGCAAAACAGATCTGAGTTATGGCAAAAGAATGTGTAAGTCAACAATTTTCGTGTATAGTTTGCAGTATGTATTTGTTCTCTCTTTTATGCTCCATTTGCATGGTAATTATTTCTTTTTGTGCCGCTCAACAGCTGACTTTTGTTTACATTGATCGAACCAATCAGGGCTGCAATGCATTTCCTATGTTCCTTTTTACACGCCAGCAGCCATGTTAAGCCTCCGATTTGATTACATTATGTTAACCTTACATGTATATTTATGTAATTTACATAAAGTTCAATTCGAATGTCTGTTAAACTGCAATATGTATTTTTTGATATCTTCATAGAGATAAACAGCACATCAAAACGAGGTAATTAAAAATTAAGATTGCATGTTGAAATTACCACGATCATTATATTCCATGCAGTAACAACATTACGAGTCGACAACATTCTAGGGTTAAGAGATATGAGCAGCTCTTGTAATTGCCAACAGGCCAACTTTAGCAGATTGCTTACATTATGAACTGCAAAAAATAAAAAATAAAATAAAAACAACAAAGCAGTAATGAAAAAATCCCGCCACAAATTAACCTGGGCTCCACGCACAACCTTGGACTTGACTTTTGCCTCTGATGGGCAACTGATTACCTGGTCTCTGCCTTACCTGTCTGTCTTGCCCAGCCTGCCAGCTCGATGTCACATTATGTCTTTTGTTGTTGTGCAGCCGGGGGCTGCTGTTATAGTTGTTATTGTTAACGCCATGTCTTAAACAACTTTTGGAACAACTTTCAAGCATTTATTATGATGGAGCTGGGAGGATCGTAGAATATTTTATGGCCATCACAGCCCTTTTCTGTGCTCTATCAATCTGATTCACTTTCAGTTCGATGTTCACTTCCGTATTGCTAATTTAAGCACAGAATTGATTAAAATCCTTAATGGCTAGTTAAGGTATGCGCTGCATGTCTTTACGACCGGGTTCCTGGGATTTTTCCCCCCAGAACTTTTTATAATAAACACAAGGCCCCGACGCGAGAGTTCGTACGGGGCAGATCTCTTCTGGTTAATAATTGCAAATTATAGTCTGTTGCTGGCAAATTTTCGCTTTCAAATGGTTACAAATGCAAAATATTTTCGCTATGCCGCGTGATTCTTTTTTCAACTTCTTCGAATGCCACGCACGTAGATCACATTTCATGCGAATTTACAGGCTTACCCTGTAGGCTGTGCCGTCTGCTGACAAACAGATCGTCACTGGCAGATCTAAAGCTTGCGCCACTACCGATCGGCAGAGTAACGAAAAAATAACAGATATGGTGATTCGAGGTGTTGAAAAGTTAATGCTCTTAAATACAGATGGTAGGGTAATTGAAGGTAGTCTGAAAAGTTTGTTCATTTTGGCATTTCACAAAAGTTGAATGAGTATATGGGTATATACACAAATTCTTAGTTATCCCTACAACGTATGTGTACATAGTATATATTATCTGTATGATATGTATATATTGATAAATACAATTGGAAACGTTAGGATTACAGGGAGAATGAATTGAAGGAGTAGTGTATAGCATTTACCTCATTTGGAGTTACCAAAAGCATATATTTATATAAACTGATATTTATTTTCAAAGCTCAACAGAGATAGAAAGGCTTAAAATTAAAGGTCATGTAAACATTTAAGATTTTACATTCAACTTGTTACAAATTGCACAGGAAATTTTATGAATAATCTTTGTTAGAGTATTCTGAGAACATTCAGCGGTCAATGTGCCGCAGGTTTGTTTAGCACGGCGAGAAAATTCCCCAAACATAAATATGTTTAGCACTCAGTCCATGGTCCGAGTGCTTCACTTGCACATGGCTTATTTGCTCACTGCCACACACACACCCACACATGCACACACACACACACACACACACCCACACATGCACACACACTCACTGACACCCTCACTCATTCACTCAATCACTCTCTATAAATAATTCAAACGCACGTGTTGTCTAGAACAGGATCCGCGCTGTTGCAGGGCGCGGGCGTGGCCGGGTGCCCTCTCTCGGCTGGCATGCTAATTTATAAACACAACAACGCACTGACATTGACAGCCAACTGTGATTTTGGGCATTCATAAGTGATCAAAAGATGGCTGCAGACTGAGATCTTGGCCAAAAGAGAATGTTTAAGCTAAACGTGCCAAAACTTATTATTATACATATGTACATACACGTATATATACATATATGAGAAAACATTAGAGATTGTCATCTGTACAAAAGCGTAAAAAACATGCATAAAATACAAAAATTATACATGAATTCCGCACTCAAACGTAACTGAAATCAAATCAAATCAAATCGCATGAC